CCGTGGGTGCTCAAGACACGTGGTCGAATGGTGGGCTGCGTGGGGTGGAGGTGCAGGGCGTCCCGGGAACCACAGCTTCAGGCTCTCAACCCCTCTGTCCATAAACAGCTTCCAGCCTCCACGAGCCATTCCGGCCTGCGAGGAGAGGAGAAGAGGGACTGTTCTTAGAAGGGAGGCCTGCAGAGGTGTTGCCTGTACTTGGTTTGCATTAACTGCCCCTTCCTGCTCCTGCTCCCCCTTCCTTTCATTTCTGTCCTCTCCCCCAGCTCTGCCCCACCACACTGCCCCTTTCTCTTGTCCCCTTTCCTGTCTTCCCTCTGCAGTTCTCCCTGTCCGAGCCCTTCCTGCGCTCAACATTCTCACTCTGCCACTGTTCCTCTGTCTTGCTCCCTTCACTCTCTGTCTCTCCCAGGTTCTGCCCCTGGCACCTCCCCTGGGAGGCCAGCCTGACATCATTAAAGTGCAATAATCTGATAACTTGCCTGGGAGTGAGGGGGCCAGAGGTCATGACTTACCTCCTTGATGAGCCTCTCCTGCAGCGCCTGGGAGTGGTTGCAAACTCCCCACAACCCCTACCTCCTCAGCTGCCAGCACACGTCTCTGCCACCTGTCTTCCCCTTGTCTCTGCCACCTGTCTTCCCCTGGACTGGCCAGCTCTGCGGAGGAGCTCTGCCTGCCCACCTGTGCAAGCGGCAGAGCCTACCTGGCTGTGGGGATTCCCACTTTGGGCACAGGTCTAGGCACACTGGGATCTTCCCTGACAGTTGGGGATGACAGTAAGAGCTCCCGTTTACATTTATAAACTCAATCCATACATCCGGATTTCTTTATGGGTCGGACACTGTGCTAGGTCTTGGGGGCATGGCCTGCCTCTTTTGGCCCTCACAGCAACCACGGTGTGCAAGGGAGGCTGGGCAGTGGTCGCACTCCCATCAGACAGAGATGGGAACGGGGCTCCAGGACCAGGCTTGCTGAAGGCAGGCCCCAGGCCGGCAGCCGGGCACTTGGCTTTTATCCTGCGGTGTTCACACCTTCGGTGTGCCAACGTCCAGTCAGCCTGTTCAGGGGTATTGCCAAGGGCTTCAGGAACCTGGACGTTCACAGACCGGTCCCAAAGCACCCTCCCAGCCTCACCCACCTTCCCTGCCCGACATTGTGCTTGTTTCCTGTGACACAAATTGCACTTGTAGTTGTTTTCAAGAGGGGTCTGAGCCCCCTACTGTCCAGCACTCTCTGCCTGCATTAGTTCCTTTCCCCCAAGTCACCAAACCCACTCATTCCCAATAATCTTCCCCCCAATTATGGCAATCATTGTCTGATTGCATGCTCTGATTACACAATTACATTTTCCCATGCTAATTGCATAATTAAGACAAGCAATTACATGAGAAAACATAAAATTTCCAGGCTCTGAATGTGGTTTGAGGGTCCAGCAAGGTGCCGCCACTGTCCCCCTTGGGGAGGGGAATGGGGCCTCCCCGGAACAGGCACAGGGGTTGGGTAGTAACCATCTCGCCCAGCTCCTCAGGATACCACTAATCTGAAGGTTCTGTCCTCATGGCCCACGGGATGCTGCACTCTCTAGATCAGGCAGCCTGATTTGGAAAGTATGAGCCAGCAGTTGTGGCCCTCAAAGCCACTATCACAGGGGCACCTGCCTACACAGGCCACTGGCCTCGGAGAGACAGAGCCTGAGCTGTGGCTGTCATGCGAGTCCAGAAGCCCAGGCCTTCAGTGTCTCCCAGCGTCCTGGGGAGGGCCCGGCTGCGTAGATGGGTGTGAGGAGGACAGGCAGGAGGGGCAGCTGACTCTCCTCTCCTCCGTGCTCAGAACTCTGGCTCCTGCTGCCTTTCTCAGAAGCCCGTAGCCTGGGAGAGAGTTAACAGGCCGCTCTCTTCCCCAGCTCATCCTCCTTCTGTCTCCTGTCCCAGAAGATGGCTCCAACTTCAGCCCTCCAGGAAGCCTTCCTGGATTAGCTCTGGTTGTGGCATCTCCCGCAGTGTGACCTCAATCCTGTCCATCCTACGGTTTGCCCACCACAGGGTCCTGCCCTCCCGAATGGCCGAATGGCCGAGGAGAAACCTCGCCCACCCCTCTGCTCCCTCCGCGCAGGCGCCCTGCCGTTGTGGAGTCGTGGCCCCTGCACTGTATGCACAGGTACATTTGCAATTCTGCCTTATTTCAAATGCACCAGGGGAGTTTGCTATTTAAAGAATACTATGGAAGATCCTTTGGCAAAGACTGGAATCACTTTCAGATTTATTTTTTATGTAATTTTGTATTTCATCTCTCCAGAGGAGGAGGCGGGGGTGAGAGACAGGCTGCCAGGCGGGTTTATATCTTTCCACAGCCTGCTGTGCTGGGCCCGCCCTGCCTGCCCCTGCCTGGCTCAGCATGTCTCAATTTTATCTTCTTCATTCGACTAGCATGCACTCAAGCCTTGCCCGGCTCCATGCGCCCGCGGTGTGGGAGGCAAGGGTAGAGAAGGCCCAGCCCCTGGCTCTGGGAGTCGGTGAGGGAGACACAGACGTGTGTTAGGTGCATGCACGCAAGCATGCTCAAGGGGAGTAGTGGGTGTACGAGGGAGGTGGGATTACCTCTGCCCAGGACTGAGGAAAGCAGGAGGAGGTGATTTTAAACCTGAGGTTTGAAGGATTAATTGGAAGAGTTCAAACAGGACAAGCAAGTGTGAAACGGGCAGGTGGGTGTGGCTGGGGTGGAGGAGGGAAATGGGGGGGAGGGGAGGCTGGAGTGGCAAGCAGGGCCAGGCCACAGTGGCCTTGGCTGCCAGGCCAAGGAGGCCAGTTCTTTGCTTTCTCAAAAGCAAAGGGGATTAAACTGGATGGTGTTACTCAGAGGAGTGAGTCAACCTTACTTTCATTTTAGGAAGATGCCTCTGGCTGTGGCATGAATGTACCCAAGGTGGTGGGGCTGGATGGAGGGGCCGAGTGACCAGTTCAGAGCCGTGGGCTGGAGGGAGGTGAGAGCCCAACTGGGTGGGCAGTGGGGATGCAGGGTGGGGGGGTTGCTGAGATGTTTCCAGGGAGGAAAGGAGATAGCAAGAGGGCTCATTTGTAGGGGAGCGGAGAGGAGGACGGGTGGGAAAGGAGCAGTGGGTCGGGGAACTCCCGACTTGTGAGCTCCTGTTTGTGCACTAGGGTTTGGGTCACCTGCCGAGAGTGAGAACGTGGGGGTGGGGTAAGGGCTGGCTGAGTTTGTAGCATCTGTGGGTGTTTTCTTCAGCTGTCCTTGGCTGCCACGGGCAGAAGACAGGGGCAGAGCTTGGTGCGACCATGGGGGAGGCGTCAGGGCCAGGTGCTGTGGAGGGGCAGGTCTGGAAAGTCCCGTTGGCAATCA